AAATCTTGAATACTTTGCAGTTTTAGCTCCCTTCTTTAAGAAAGGATATACATGCAGTGGAGCTGGTTCAGGGCACGTTTACTAGATTGATACATAGCTGGCATTGGCAATTCACTTGCAGTGTGCAGACCCTTGGAGCAATTGTGCACATTCAGCCGTGTACCTTAGAGGGAACATTGCCTGGAATGTGAGTCTTATAAGGATAGGTTAAACAGCTTGGGCTTATCTCCACTGAAGTTTAGAAGAGCGAGAGTTGATTTGATTAAGTATGTATGATCCTGAATGGTCTTGACATGTTCGACACGGAAAGGATGTTGCATTGTGGGTCAGTCCAAAACTAAGGACACCTTTTTTCAAAAATCTTGAGTGTTGTCCTTTTAGGACAGAGGTAAGGAGAGATCTCTTTCCTCTCTAAACGGACTTAGGAACTTGCAGCCTCAGAAAATTGTGGAGGTGGCTTCATTAAATATGTTTAAGCTGGAGTTGGATAGAATATAGAATTGGTAACAAATGGAAATGACATGATTATATTTAGTGGTGGAGCAGTCTTGAGGGACCAGCTTGTCTACTTCTACCTATTTTGCATGTTCATAAGAGAAAACCTCCTTTCCTTATCCACCCTTTCAAGACCCCTCAGGATCTTACATGTTCCAATCAAGTCACCTCTTATTCTTCTGAACTCCAGTAGCTGAATATCTAGCCTATCCAATCTGTCCTCCTGAGATAAGCCACGTATCCTAGTTATTTGTCTACTAAATGTTCTCAGTTTGGGGTTCAGTTAGCTGAACAGCTGGTTTGCAATGCAGAATAACACCAACAGCATGGTCTCACTAATGCATTGTATAATTGAAGCATAACCTCTTTTCTATTCAGTTGCCCTCTCAATAAATGATAACATGCTAATAACTTTCTTATTTATTTACTGTACCGACTAACCTTATGTGATTTGTGCACTAAGACACCTAGATCTGCGTCTTAGAGTTCTGCAATCTTTCACCATTTAGTTAATGTGTTCTTTTTCATTCTAGCTGCCAAAGTGAAAAATTTCATATTTTCATACATTACATGCCATTTGCCAGATATTTGCCCACTCAATGAACCTATCTCCAAACTATGTGTTTTTCTTCTAGAAGCAAAGAAAAATCCTGATTCTTCTGTCTGAAAGCAAGCTAATGCTCTTCAATGTTTACACTCTGGTTATAAAACTGTCCCACTGCAAATAAATTCCCATTGTCACTTCAGGGACTGTCTCTCATACTGGTTCAAAAAAAAAATCATGGCTTGGCAATACTAACAAGTTTCTCGTTTATACACAGACTAACGCCCACATGGTGCTATTTCTAAATCTAAACTCTAAAATAAATTATATCAAAATGTGTATCAATCACACACATTACGTCATAATGCACAAGTGTACAGCATTAGTGTTCAAAAACTCTTCAGTCTAGAGCATATTATATCCATGTTTTAACGTTTTCACCTATGTGTGATTTTTATTTGTATCACAATCAAGAAATTGCTGATCCTTTGCTGGAGGAGCACAGCAGGCCAGGCAGCATCAGTGGAGCAGGAAAGTTGACGTTTCAGGTCGGGACCCTTCTTCAGAAATGTAGGAGGGGGAAGGGAGCTCTGACGTAAATAGAAAAAGGAGGGGTGGGGCTGGGGAATGTAGGTGGGATGGTGATTGGTGAGTGCAGGTAGGCAATGTTTGGAGGAGTGGATAGGTGGGGTTGTGTCAGGTCAAGGAGGCGGGGATGAGAGGGAGGGTTGGTCATGGGATGAGGCCGGGGGGTGGGGAGATTTTGAAACTGGTAAAGTCCACATTGAGACCATTGGGTTGTAGGCTCCCAAGGCGGAATGTGAGATGCTGCTCCTGCAGTTTCCGGGTGGTGTCATTGTGACAC